GTAGCGACAGTGGAGAGGAAAAACTCCCTTTTAACAGGAAGAAACCTCCAGCAGAACCAGGCTCAGTGTGAGCGGCCATCTGCCGAGGCCGACTGGGGTTCAAGGAGACAGAAGCAGAGATACAAAAAGCAGCTGTAAAAGGCGGCCCCGTCCAGGAAACACACAGCCAGGCAGACGAGCTCCAAGGCAGCTCCCATGCCAGAGGACGAAGAGAGCACATCCACTCAGTCACGGTCAGAGAAACAGGACCACACTGGAAAACAGGCCGATCTCCAACATCTATTAACAAGGGTGTTGATAGAAGCAGCACAGCTGATGTTTCTTTCCAGGATGACGTCACAGCCAAACAGGAACAGACGAGGCAAAGCTACTCTGAGGAAAAGCAGAGAGAGCAGAAGGTTAGAGATTGAACTAACAGATTCTGCAGAATAGGAGAACAGAGAGAGAATGAAGCAGAATGATGAAATGGGGGTCCCTATGTCCTCCAGCAGTCTAAGCCTATAGCAGCATAACTATAGAGATAGCTCAGGATAACCTGAGCCACCCTAACTATAAGCTTTATCAAAAAGGAAAGTTTTAAGCCTAGCCTTAAAAGTAGACAGGGTGTCTGCCTCACGGACTAAAACTGGTAGTTGGTTCCACAGGAGAGGAGCCTGAGAACTAAAAGATCTGCCTCCCATTCTACTTTTAGAAATTCTAGGAACCACTAGTAAACCTGCAGATTGAGAGCGAAGTGCTCTGTTAGGAACATAAGGAACAATCAGATCTCTGATATAAGATGGAGCTTGGCCATTTAAGGCTTTATATGTGAGAAGGAGGATTTTAAATTCTATTCTTGATTTAACAGGAAGCCAATGAAGAGAAGCCAGGATAGGAGAGATATGATCTCTCTTTTTCATTTTCATTAGAACTCTGGCTGCAGCATTTTGGATCAGCTGAAGGCTTTTAACTACAGTTTGTGGACTTCCTGATAGTAAAGAATTACAATAGTCCAGCCTTGAAGTAACAAATGCATGGACTAGTTTCTCAGCATCACCCCTGGACAGGATATTTCTAATTTTTGCAATGTTCCTCAGATGAAAGAAGGAAATTCTAGAAACCTCTTTGATCTGGGATTTAAATGACAGGTCCTGATCAAAAATAACACCAAGATTTTTTACTTTATTATCTAATTGATGCTAATAAACGGCTAACCATTCTAATTGGTGCTAATAGACGGCTAACCATTCTAATTGATGCTAATAGACGGCTAACCATTCTAATTGATGCTAATAGACGGCTAACATTCTAATTGATGCTAATAAACGGCTAACCATTCTAATTGATGCTAATAAACGGCTAACATTCTAATTGATGCTAATAAACGGCTAACATTCTAATTGATGCTAATAAACGGCTAACCATTCCAATTGATGCTAAGAAACGGCTAACCATTCTAATTGGTGCTAATAGACGGCTAACCATTCTAATTGATGCTAATAGACGGCTAACCATTCTAATTGATGCTAATAGACGGCTAACCATTCTAATTGATGCTAATAGACGGCTAACATTCTAATTGATGCTAATAAACGGCTGACCATTCTAATTGATGCTAATAAACGGCTAACATTCTAATTGATGCTAATAAACGGCTAACATTCTAATTGATGCCAAGAAACGGCTAACCATTCTAATTGATGCTAATAAACGGCTAACATTCTAATTGATGCTAATAAACGGCTAACATTCTAATTGATGCCAAGAAACGGCTAACCATTCTAATTGATGCTAATAAACGGCTAACATTCTAATTGATGCCAAGAAACGGCTAACCATTCTAATTGATGCTAATAAACGGCTAACATTCTAATTGATGCTAAGAAACGGCTAACATTCTAATTGATGCTAATAAACGGCTAACCATTCTAATTGATGCTAATAGACGGCTAACCATTCTAATTGATGCTAATAGACGGCTAACATTCTAATTGATGCTAATAAACGGCTAACCATTCTAATTGATGCTAATAAACGGCTAACATTCTAATTGATGCTAATAAACGGCTAACATTCTAATTGATGCTAATAAACGGCTAACCATTCCAATTGATGCTAAGAAACGGCTAACCATTCTAATTGGTGCTAATAGACGGCTAACCATTCTAATTGATGCTAATAGACGGCTAACCATTCTAATTGATGCTAATAGACGGCTAACCATTCTAATTGATGCTAATAGACGGCTAACATTCTAATTGATGCTAATAAACGGCTGACCATTCTAATTGATGCTAATAAACGGCTAACATTCTAATTGATGCTAATAAACGGCTAACATTCTAATTGATGCCAAGAAACGGCTAACCATTCTAATTGATGCTAATAAACGGCTAACATTCTAATTGATGCTAATAAACGGCTAACATTCTAATTGATGCCAAGAAACGGCTAACCATTCTAATTGATGCTAATAAACGGCTAACATTCTAATTGATGCCAAGAAACGGCTAACCATTCTAATTGATGCTAATAAACGGCTAACATTCTAATTGATGCTAAGAAACGGCTAACATTCTAATTGATGCTAATAAACGGCTAACCATTCTAATTGATGCTAATAGACGGCTAACATTCTAATTGATGCTAATAAACGGCTAACCATTCTAATTGATGCTAATAGACGGCTAACATTCTAATTGATGCTAATAAACGGCTAACCATTCTAATTGATGCTAATAAACGGCTAACCATTCTAATTGATGCTAAGAAACGGCTAACCATTCTAATTGATGCTAATAGACGGCTAACCATTCTAATTGATGCTAATAGACGGCTAACCATTCTAATTGATGCTAATAGACGGCTAACCATTCTAATTTATGCTAATAGACGGCTAACATTCTAATTGATGCTAATAAACGGCTAACCATTCTAATTGATGCTAATAAACGGTAGTGCTGTCAATCGATTAAATTTTTTAATCGCGATTAATCGCATCAATGCCTGAGTTAACTCGCGATTAATCGCATTTTAATCGCACATTTTTTTCCTGATTGAAAATCATTTAAATACTCTCGATGACATACAAAAAAATACATACAGGCTAGGTTTGTGCCAATGTTCTTTTTTTAAAATGAAAACAGGTCACAGATACTGATTTATGCCATAGAAACATATGGCAAGAAGATGGGGAGGCATGTAGCAAAAAATAACAAATATGTAGGCAAAAAAAAGGCCCTGAAAACAGGCTGATGTAAAAGACAGTCTTTACAGTTAATACAGTCTTTTGAACAAAGACAAGCATTTTACCCTACTGCTATAAAATTTAGTAGAGTTAACATTAGATGTTAATTAACCAAGGTAATAATGAACAATTTTCAATCAATACATCAAAATCAATAGACCGACATCACTAGATGAAGGTAGTCTATGCTCTCTAGAAAGTTACTTTTCAGCCTCTTAACAAAAATGAGAACACACACACACACACACACACACGCGATACCGACCTGTTGCGTACACAGACGGCAAGAGTGCTGCTACGAGATTCCATTTCACCTCAGTAATCAGTTTTCTCAGCGTATTTCAGGTTGCTACTACACTCAACTTGTTTGTTGGTGGTGGGGCTTAAAGAAAAGGCACTAGCGTCACCCAGTGTATGAGCGTCTTTTTCCCTTGAGGAGCTCCGCTCTAGAAGCCTATGAGAAATGCATAGACTGGGGGAAAATAGCCCCGCCTTCCGCAGGCTGCAGCGGGATGTACTTGGAAAAATTGTACCATAAAACCACATAGCGTTAATCTCACGTTAAAAAAATTATCGCCGTTAAAATGGCCTCGCGTTAACGCGTTAATAACGCGATAATTTTGACAGCACTAATAAACGGCTAACCATTCTAATTGATGCTAATAGACGGCTAACATTCTAATTGATGCTAATAAACGGCTAACCATTCTAATTGATGCTAATAGACGGCTAACATTCTAATTGATGCTAAGAAACGGCTAACCATTCTAATTGATGCTAATAAACGGCTAACATTCTAATTGATGCTAATAAACGGCTAACATTCTAATTGATGCTAATAATGTTACTGTGTAAATGGGTTTGGCTGTAATTTAAGGACAGATTCTAATAGATCTGCAGAGTGGGAACTATAAATCTGATAGGATTTTTATCTTTTTATTGCTATTTTGCACAATATGCTTAACTAAGTATTGTTTGTTGTTGAATATTAGAGATTTTACAGATATATTTTTTATACATACATTGTTTAGATTTACTTATATCTTTCTACCCTTTTATAGAATAGAATAGAAAATCCCTTTATTGTCCCACAATGGGCAAATTTACAGCAACAGAAAGATTATTGAAAATGGTCACACAAATGTGGACCTTAGAAAAATGTATAAGAATAATTTCAATTCAATTCAGTTTATTTATATAGCGCCAAATTCACAACACATGTCATCTCAAGGCACTTTACAGTTCAACCAGATCATACAGTCAAATCGATACAAAGTTTTCTATCTAAGGAAAACCAGTTGATTGCATTGACTCATTGACTCAAATACAATCCCCCACACTAAGCATGCTTGTAGCGACAGTGGAGAGGAAAAACTCCCTTTTAACAGGAAGAAACCTCCAGCAGAACCAGGCTCAGTGTGATAACATAACATAATAGGGAAGAGTTAAAATATAAACAATAAAATACTGTAAAGTGTTTTATTGTTTATGTTCCTGCTCCCGGTGGTTGGAATCTTTATTCCACTCTCGATTCTCATCAGTCTTTGTTCACTTTACAATAAAAAAGAAATAAACAGTTTTGAAAACTTCGGTTTTCATTCTTTTCCTGCTTTGTGTGTCAACGTTCACGGTTGCTAAGCAACAGAGCTTACAGCGGTAAAACCTGCCGAAGGGTAGACCTGTTCGAATTCACAGCCTAAACTCTTCCTGTCTCCTTATTTTCATGAACTTGGAAGGATCCAGTCTAGGTAGACCGCGTCCTTGGAGGATGCAGCCCAGGATTTCGAACAGAGCCATCATCTATGAATGGAGGTCCACCATCTTGGGCCCCCCAGGCTCAGTGTATGAGGGCGGGGTGTTCTTCTTAGACGTTGCCTTCAATCAGTCTACCCCTTCAAACCACCTAAGGTAAACTAGTCAGCGCTGTCTGTCTTCCTCGTGTCGTCCACCAGAGGGCAGCATTTCCTTTGAAGAGCACTTGCTGTAGAAGCAGCTGCCCTCCTGAGGAGAGGGGCTCCAGAGGAGAGGGGCTCCAGAGGAGGGGCTCCTGAGGAGAGGGGCTCCAGAGGAGGGGCTCCTGGGGAGGGGCTCCAGAGGAGAGGGGCTCCAGAAGAGGGGCTCCTGGGGAGGGGCTCCTGAGGAGAGGGGCTCCAGAGGAGGGGCTCCTGAGGAGAGGGGCTCCAGAGGAGAGGGGCTCCAGAGGAGAGGGGCTCCAGAAGAGGGGCTCCTGAGGAGGGGCTCCTGAGGAGAGGGGCTCCAGAGGAGGGGCTCCTGAGGAGAGGGGCTCCAGAGGAGAGGGGCTCCAGAAGAGGGGCTCCTGGGGAGGCATTGATCCTGACTGTTTTTGCAGGCCGTCCTCTCTGTCCTCAGGTGACGTTCAGAACCAGGATCTACCATGGCAACATCAACAGCCAGGGGGTCATCTGCCTGGACATCCTGAAGGACACCTGGAGCCCCGCCCTCACCATCTCCAAAGTCCTGCTGTCCATCTGCTCCCTGCTCACCGACTGCAACCCAGATGAGACCAGAACTCAGTAGATCCAGTGACCTGAAACAGCCAGCTCAACGTTCAGCATGAGTTGGGTTTTTATGGGCGGCTCAGAGGATCAGCAGCACCTTTACCCTGATGATGATGATGATGATGAGGCATCTTCAAGTCAAACCTTATTGATGCTGCATTCATTACTGTCTCATGGATTACTGACACCTGCTGGACGTTTAGAGACACTACAGGCAGCTGATTGGACAGAATATTTGAATTGATTTGATCACCTGCTACCAGGGGCGGATTTAGTAAACATGGGGCCCTAGGCTAAGACAGGCAGGGGGCCCCTCTGAATGGAGAAGACATCAAACAGCCCCATTCTCCAGATGTAGAAATGTTAATAGAATAGACATCCATTATCTGTTCTAGGTTGTGTCCCTCTCTTCTTGTCCCTTTTCTTCTTGTTTTCCTCTCTATGTTTTGTACTCAGCTGACTTTTCATGCTGTCTCTAAAGGAATGAAAGATTTTTTCCAAGCACTAAGCTCACTTAGCTGATTGCTCCTTCCTGTGTTTCCAAAAAGGCCAAAGTAAATAACTCAGTCCTTCTTTTCACTGTAGACAAGCCATGATCTGCTTCTCTGTTCTCCATTTTTCATTTGGATGAAATAATAGCTGCATGAATCATGACAGCAGACAAGATAGAGGAGAGCAGGAGGCGGGGTTACCAATCTACTCGCTCTGGAGAGCAGAGTTCTCTGCTGAGACACACTTATCAGTGTTCTGATGGCATTTTTATTAAAAACATAATTAATGTGCACAAATAAGGAATAGTTGTATTAACCATACATGAAAACAGAGTTTTATGGGGCCCCCAGGAACATGGGGCCCTAGGCAGTTGCCTAGTTTTGCCTAATGGTAAATCCCCCCCCCCAGCACAATGATATTAAGTTATTAGAGGTTATATTGTATTATTTCATATCTGTTCAAATAGAAAATATCTTCAATATTTTTCGATGCAGCCAATAAATAATCTAAACATAAATCGTAACATGAACATTTAGGGTAAAATGTGAATGAGGATGCTTGTGGACTAGGATTTTAAATCAGATTTCTAAAACAATAAGTGCAGTAAAAACAGTAAATAAACTAAGAGTCAATGTGAAATGAACTTTAATTCAGATAAGATGAGTGATAACTGAGAGGAAAAGGATGAAACAAGGAGAAGATGAAAATAAAAACAGGTGAAACGTTTCTATTCCTTTTAGGCTCCAAAATTCTGCATCAATTTAATGATAAACAGCAAAAGATGAAACATTTTTAGCAGATGCATCATGTTGACAGATATGATTTTAAACCCAGTTTAGTGAATTAGTCAGTTAGAAACAGCTCCTGGATCGGTCACATGACTTTCTGGAAACGACACGCGCTCCGATGCTGCTCTATGGGCCCCATGCAGCTCTATGGGCTCCATGCAGCTCTATGGGCTCCATGCTGCTCTATGGGCTCCATGCAGCTCTATGGGCTCCACGCAGCTCTATGGGCCCCATGCAGCTCTATGGGCCCCATGCAGCTCTATGGGCTCCATGCAGCTCTATGGGCCCCGCGCAGCTCTATGGGCTTCATGCAGCTCTATGGGCCCCACGCAGCTCTATGGGCCCCACGCAGCTCTATGGGCTCCATGCAGCTCTATGGGCTCCATGCAGCTCTATGGGCCCCACGCAGCTCTATGGGCCCCACGCAGCTCTATTGGCTCCATGCAGCTCTATGGGCTCCATGCAGCTCTATGGGCTCCATGCAGCTCTATGGGCCCCATGCAGCTCTATGGGCCCCATGCAGCTCTATGGGCCCAGCGCGGCTCTATGGGCTTCATGCAGCTCTATGGGCCCCACGCAGCTCTATGGGCTCCATGCAGCTCTATGGGCCCCATGCAGCTCTATGGGCCCCATGCAGCTCTATGGGCTCCATGCAGCTCTATGGGCCCCATGCAGCTCTATGGGCCCCACGCAGCTCTATGGGCCCCACGCAGCTCTATGGGCCCCATGCAGCTCTATGGGCTCCATGCAGCTCTATGGGCCCCGCGCAGCTCTATGGGCTTCATGCAGCTCTATGGGCCCCACGCAGCTCTATGGGCCCCACGCAGCTCTATGGGCTCCATGCAGCTCTATGGGCTCCATGCAGCTCTATGGGCCCCACGCAGCTCTATGGGCCCCACGCAGCTCTATTGGCTCCATGCAGCTCTATGGGCTCCATGCAGCTCTATGGGCTCCATGCAGCTCTATGGGCCCCATGCAGCTCTATGGGCCCCATGCAGCTCTATGGGCCCCGCGCGGCTCTATGGGCTTCATGCAGCTCTATGGGCCCCACGCAGCTCTATGGGCCCCACGCAGCTCTATGGGCTCCATGCAGCTCTATGGGCTCCATGCAGCTCTATGGGCCCCACGCAGCTCTATGGGCCCCACGCAGCTCTATGGGCTCCATGCAGCTCTATGGGCTCCATGCAGCTCTATGGGCCCCATGCAGCTCTACGTGCCCCATGCAGCTCTATGGGCCCCACGCAGCTCTTTGGGCCCCACGCAGCTCTACGTGCCCCATGCAGCTCTATGGGCCCCACGCAGCTCTTTGGGCCCCACGCAGCTCTACGTGCCCCATGCAGCTCTATGGGCCCCACGCAGCTCTTTGGGCCCCACGCAGCTCTATGGGCTCCATGCAGCTCTATGGGCCCCACGCAGCTCTATGGGCTCCATGCAGCTCTATGGGCCCCATGCAGCTCTATGGGCTCCATGCAGCTCTATGGGCTCCATGCAGCTCTTTGGGCCCCACGCAGCTCTATGGGCTCCATGCAGCTCTATGGGCTTCATGCAGCTCTATGGGCCCCACGCAGCTCTATGGGCTCCATGCAGCTCTATGGGCCCCATGCAGCTCTATGGGCTCCATGCAGCTCTATGACATGATAGCCAGGCAGCGGACCAAACGCTACGCCACCTAACGCCCGGGGGGCAGGGTTTGTGTCAGGAGGCGGGGCTAAGGGGTTCTGCCTTCCAGATAAAGGCTAATCTCCAGCTTCTGTTGGTTCTAAAGGAGCTGTGGCTTTCCGTTACCTCATGGTTCTACAGGGGACCCCTCCAGGTCCAGATTCTCCACCCGGCGCTGTCGGCTTCCTCTCCACCAGATGGAGCCGTTTCACTCCTGTAGATGTCTCTAGAGATGGATGGACATGCTTGTGATTTATGTTCTGTGCCGATGAGTTGCTCTGGTTGTTCTCTGAAGAATTAAACGACACCGAGTCGGATTGGGTCGGATCTCGTCTTTATTATTATCGGTACCGACAGCAGCAGAGTGAAGGTTAACAGAGCCTGGAACGTCGTCCTCACACCTCCAGGAATGTGGATCATTAAAGTGACAAACAGAACTAAACTCTGATCATTCTGACCCGTAGAACCCGGAGGTTCCCAGAACCCATCCATCAGGACCACAGGGAGCTTCTCAGAGGCCCCCCCCGTGAGCTGACAGACTAACGGACCCCATTACTAAAACTAATAGATCATCTATGGCATTGGCAGCTTAGAGAGAAGGTTCTGGGTTTGGAGCGGGCCGACAGCTGAAAGGTTCTTCTGTTTATGTACCACAGAACGTTCCATCAAATAAAGAAACTTTTTCCAGTTTGTCCGGTTCTTTGTCCCGGTTTGAGGTTCTCCTCTGGGTTGCAAACCAAGCAGCTCCTTCAGCATCACTCTGGTTCCAGAGGAACCTCCTTCACTTCCAGCTAAGGTCTGATATTACCCAATATAACCTAATATTGGGTTCTACCAGCTAATGTCGGGTTCTAGCAGCTAATGTCGGGTTCTAGCAGCTAACGTCGGGTTCTACCCTCTAATGTTGCAGCTAATGTCGGGTTCTACCAGCTAATGTCGGGTTCTAGTAGCTAACGTTGGGTTCTACCCTCTAATGTCGAGTTCTACCCTCTAATGTCTGGTTCTATCAGCTAATGTCGGGTTCTACCAGCTAATGTCGGGTTCTATCAGCTAATGTCGGGTTCTACCAGCTAATGTCGGGTTCTACCCGCTAAGGTCGGGTTCTACCAGCTAATGACGGGTTCTACCCTCTAATGTCGGGTTCTACCAGCTAATGTCGGGTTCTACCCGCTAAGGTCGGGTTCTACCAGCTAATGACGGGTTCTACCCTCTAATGTCGGGTTCTACCAGCTAATGACGGGTTCTAGTAGCTAACGTTGGGTTCTACCCTCTAATGTCGAGTTCTACCCTCTAATGTCTGGTTCTATCAGCTAATGTCGGGTTCTACCAGCTAATGTCGGGTTCTATCAGCTAATGTCGGGTTCTACCCGCTAAGGTCGGGTTCTACCAGCTAATGACGGGTTCTACCCTCTAATGTCGGGTTCTACCAGCTAATGTCGGGTTCTACCAGCTAATGTCGGGTTCTACCCGCTAATGTCGGGTTCTACCCGCTAATGTCGGGTTCTACCCGCTAATGTCGGGTTCTACCCGCTAATGTCGGGTTCTACCAGCTAATGTCGGGTTCTACCCGCTAAGGTCGGGTTCTACCAGCTAATGACGGGTTCTACCCTCTAATGTCGGGTTCTACCAGCTAATGTCGGGTTCTACCAGCTAATGTCGGGTTCTACCAGCTAATGTCGGGTTCTACCAGCTAATGTCGGGTTCTACCAGCTAATGACGGGTTCTACCAGCTAATGTCGGGTTCTACCAGCTAATGTCGGGTTCTACCCGCTAAGGTCGGGTTCTACCAGCTAATGACGGGTTCTACCCTCTAATGTCGGGTTCTACCAGCTAATGACGGGTTCTAGTAGCTAACGTTGGGTTCTACCCTCTAATGTCGAGTTCTACCCTCTAATGTCTGGTTCTATCAGCTAATGTCGGGTTCTACCAGCTAATGTCGGGTTCTATCAGCTAATGTCGGGTTCTACCCGCTAAGGTCGGGTTCTACCAGCTAATGACGGGTTCTACCCTCTAATGTCGGGTTCTACCAGCTAATGTCGGGTTCTACCAGCTAATGTCGGGTTCTACCCGCTAATGTCGGGTTCTACCCGCTAATGTCGGGTTCTACCCGCTAATGTCGGGTTCTACCAGCTAATGTCGGGTTCTACCAGCTAATGTCGGGTTCTACCCGCTAAGGTCGGGTTCTACCAGCTAATGACGGGTTCTACCCTCTAATGTCGGGTTCTACCAGCTAATGTCGGGTTCTACCAGCTAATGTCGGGTTCTACCAGCTAATGTCGGGTTCTACCAGCTAATGACGGGTTCTACCAGCTAATGTCGGGTTCTACCAGCTAATGTCGGGTTCTACCCACTAATTTTGGGTTCTACCTAATGGAGGGTTCTAGATTGCACTGGTTCTTGTTGCAGCAGAGGAGCAGCCTCAGGCGTTCCGGTCCGATCGGTTCTGGCTCAGATGTCATTGGAGGCGGTGCCTTTGCTCTTGCGTCCCGGCAGAGGGAAGGCGGACTTGCTCTGCGGCTGGGTGAGGCGGCTGGTCAGCTGGATGAAGGGTTCCAGCAGCAAACCGCGGTCCGTGACGCTCACCTCCCACAGCTTCACCTTCTCAGAACGCGCCCACTGCTGCGCCGCCTCCTGCTCCACTTGCCGCAGCTCGCTCAGGTCACTTTTGTTGCCCAGGACGATGATGGTCACCTGCAGACAGAACGCAGTGAGCGAACAGTCAGAGTGACGGCCATTACTGCTGCAGGACGAGACCCCGAGGGGACAGATGACAGGAGGCCATGTTCCCTCTGACATCACGGACCGCGCTGACATCATGGACCGCTCTGACATCACAGACCGCTCTGACATCACAGACCGCGCTGACATCACAGACCGCGCTGACATCACGGACCGCGCTGACATCACGGACCGCGCTGACATCACAGACCGCGCTGACATCACCGACCACGCTGACATCACGGACCGCTCTGACATCACGGACCGCGCTGACATCACGGACCGCGCTGACATCACGGACCGCTCTGACATCACGGACCGCGCTGACATCACAGACCGCGCTGACATCACGGACCGCTCTGACATCACGGACCGCGCTGACATCACAGACCGCGCTGACATCACAGACCGCTCTGACCTCACAGACCGCTCTGACCTCACAGACCGCGCTGACCTCACGGGCCGCGCTGACATCACGGACCGTGCTGACATCACAGACCGTGCTGACATCACGGACCGCGCTGACATCACAGACCGCTCTGACATTATGGCCGCGTTGACATCACAGACCGCTCTGACCTCACAGACCGCTCTGACATCACAGACCGCTCTGACATTATGGCCGTGCTGACCTCACAGACCGCTCTGACCTCACAGACCGCTCTGACATCACAGACCGCTCTGACATTATGGCCGTGCTGACCTCACAGACCGCTCTGACATCACAGACCGCTCTGACCTCACAGACCGCTCTGACATCACAGACCGCTCTGACATCAGAGACCGCTCTGACATCACAGACCGCTCTGACATTATGGCCGTGCTGACCTCACAGACCGCTCTGACATTATGGCCGTGCTGACCTCACAGACCGCTCTGACATCACAGACCGCTCTGACATTATGGCCGTGCTGACCTCACAGACCGCTCTGACCTCACAGACCGCTCTGACATCACAGACCGCTCTGACATCACAGACCGCTCTGACATTATGGCCGTGCTGACCTCACAGACCGCTCTGACCTCACAGACCGCTCTGACCTCACAGACCGCGCTGACATCACAGACCGCGCTGACATCACGGACCGCTCTGACCTCACAGACCGCGCTGACATCACAGACCGCTCTGACATCACAGACCGCTCTGACATCACAGACCGCTCTGACATTATGGCCGCGTTGACATCACAGACCGCTCTGACATCACAGACCGCGCTGACATCACAGACCGTGCTGACATCACAGACCGCTCTGACATCACAGACCGCGCTGACATCACAGACCGCGCTGACCTCACAGGCCGTGCTGACATCACAGACCGCTCTGACATCACAGACCGCTCTGACATCACAGACCGCTCTGACATTATGGCCGCTCTGACATCACAGACCGCTCTGACATTATGGCCGCGTTGACATCACAGACCGCTCTGACCTCACAGACCGCTCTGACATCACAGACCGCTCTGACATTATGGCCGTGCTGACCTCACAGACCGCTCTGACCTCACAGACCGCTCTGACCTCACAGACCGCGCTGACATCACAGACCGCTCTGACATCACGGACCGCTCTGACCTCACAGACCGCGCTGACATCACAGACCGCTCTGACATCACAGACCGCTCTGACATCACAGACCGCTCTGACATTATGGCCGCGTTGACATCACAGACCGCTCTGACATCACAGACCGCGCTGACATCACAGACCGCTCTGACATCACAGACCGCGCTGACATCACAGACCGCGCTGACCTCACAGGCCGTGCTGACATCACAGACCGCTCTGACATCACAGACCGCTCTGACATCACAGACCGCGCTGACATCACAGACCGCTCTGACATTATTGCCGCTCTGACATCACAGACCGCTCTGACATTATGGCCGCGTTGACATCACAGACCGCGCTGACATCACAGACCGTGCTGACATCACAGACCGCTCTGACATCACAGACCGCGCTGACATCACAGACCGCGCTGACCTCACAGGTCGCGCTGACATCACAGACCGCGCTGACATCACAGACCGCTCTGACATCACAGGCCGTGCTGACATCACAGATCGGTCTGAAATGTGACATAATCAGAACCTTCTTCTGTCATTAGAAACTAATCAAGCCTCATTCAGGACAGAAGCTTATTTCCAGAGTAGATTAATTTGCAAATCGATTAATCTGTCGATTAATAATCGGATGACCAAAGAAGATTTTTTACTGAAATAAACAGTCTCTATACTCCAGTTAATGATTTATTGATCACTAAATTAGTTGACGATTGTTTCAGTAATCGATGAATTGTTTCAGCTCTATTCCACAGTAATCATGTTTTAGAGCCTAACTTCCTCCAACCAGAACCTCCTCCCTGAGCCGTCTGCTGGGCCGCAGTCATCTGACCCAATGAGGAAGGTTCTGGAGGTCACCACTACTGAGGAGCAGGGGCCTGCATCACCTCCTTCTTGTCCCTGGACCTGTCGATCTCCTTCTTCAGGACGTCCACCCTCTGGAAGGACTCCAGGCTGTCCACGCTGTAGACCAGAACGAAGCCGTCTGCCACAGAGTAGTAGTGCTTGGGCAGGTCCTGGCTGTCCTGCAGTCCTTTGGTGTCATAAAGCCTCAGCTGCTCCTTCACGCCTCGGTCCGTTTCCACCGAGGCCACGTACACGTCCTCCTGGGTCTCACTGGACTCTGAGCCTGGACACCAACAGTGGGACACAATCAGTCAGCCCCCCCAGCATGGAGCCCCCCTCCTCAGCATGGAGCCCCCCCCCAGCATGGAGCCCCCCTGATGACCCCTCCCCCCCTCAGCATGGAGCCCCCCTGATGCCCCCTCCCCCCCCCTCAGCATGGAGCCCCCCTGATGCCCCCTCCCCCCCCTCAGCATGGAGCCCCCCTGATGCCCCCTGGCTGCTCACCTACACAGTGGTTCCCATAGAGCAGCTGCTCCAGGATGGCTGTCTTCCCCACCGCCGCCTGGCCGCACACCACCACCTTACAGCCCTTCCCCATGTCCACCTGCTGCCTCACAGCGGGATCATGGCCGCCGCCTTACCTGTCCTCTGGCAGCAGGTGCGTCAGGTGAGCGACCTGATCAACGTCACAGACCGCCGGGTTCAAATCAAAGAAGGAACCGGAGCAAACCCGGAAACTCTCCGTCAGTGAAGGCAGCAGCTGTTCGCTTCCTGCAGCTGATTGGCTGCTCACCGCGCATGCGCATTCAGGATCACTTTTTATTTTCCCGCTGGTTTATCGCGAGGCTTTCATTCAGTTTGATTAAAGAACATCAAAGGAGATCCGCATCGATCGCTTCCACCCATGGCCGCTGACGTGATTTGGTGCCGCCATCTTGGGGAGGTCGACAGCCCCGCTCAGTGTGATGAGTTGAACAGAAACAGAATCAATTTTAATCAACTTTAACTCCCTGAATATTGAACAAATTTTCACAGTTTTGTTATTTTGCTGAAACAAACAAATGGTTCGGTTTATATCAATGTTCTTAGTGAGGTTATGAGTAATTTAATATTCTGAGAGGATGGATGCATTGCCAGATATATTTATTATTTCATTACTATATACAGAAACCTATTGATACAGCTGTACACAAATATACATACATCTCTCTCTCTCTCTCTCTCTCTATATATATATATATATAGAGAGAGAGAGAGAGAGAGAGAGAGAGAGAGAATAAGAATAATCCTAGATTTCTTTTTAATACAGTTGCCAAACTCACCCAGAGCCATAGCTCTGTTGAACCGTCCATTCCACCTGCTCTTAGCAGCAATGATTTTATGGGATTCTTTATAAATAAGATTGATCTTATTAAAAATAAGATCATAAGCACTCCTCTATCCGCGATTGTACCTGAGGTAGTCATGGAATCTGAACCGGGTTTAGACTGCTTTGATCTAGTTGAACTTTCTGAGTTAGCAAAATTATTGTCTTCATCTAAGCCTTCAACTTGTATGTTAGATCCAGTTCCAACCAGGGTTAGGGTTAGGGTTAAGGAGGTATTCCCTTTGATCTCCTCCTCCATTTTAGATGTGATTAATCTATCTCTGTTACAGGGATATGTACCTAAAGCTTTTAAGGTTGCTGTAATTAAACCTCTGCTTAAGAAACCGTCTCTTGACCCAGATGACTTGGTCAATTATAGACCTATATCCAATCTTCCTTTCTGATCTAAAATTCTTGAGAAAGTAGTTGCCAAACAAGTTTGCGATCACTTCCACCATAATGAACTTTTTGAAGAGTTTCAGTCTGGCTTTAGAGCTCATCATAGCACTGAAACAGCTCTGGTGAAAGTCACTAATGATATTCTCATGGCCTCAGATAATGGACTTGTATCTGTGCTCGTCCTGTTGGATCTTAGTGCTGCATTTGATACAGTTGACCATAATATTCTTTTAGAAAGACTTGAATATTTTGTTGGAATTAAAAAGGAACAGCTCTAGACTGGTTTAAATCTGATCTATCTGATTGAATTCAGTTTGTTCATGTTAATGATAGATCTTCCTCATGCTCCAAGGTTACCTGTGGAGTACCACAGGGATCAGTGCTAGGACCAATTCTCTTTACTTTATACATGCTCCCAATCGGTAGAGTTATTAGACAGCATGGGATTAATTTCCACTGTTATGCTGATGATACCCAGCTATATCTGTCTATAATCCAGATGAAGCCAACCCATTACATAGATTACAGGCATGTCTGAAGACAGAAAAACCTGGATGACTCTTAACTTTCTGCTTCTGAATGCAGACAAAACAGAAGTTATAGTCTTTGGACCAGAGTCTCTGAAAAAAAAGCTGATTAGTCAGTCGCTTCATTTGGATGGGATTAAACTGATTTCAGATAATAAAGTAAAAAATCTTGGTGTTATTTTTGATCAGGACCTGTCATTTAAATCCCAGATCAAAGAGGTTTCTAGAATTTCCTTCTTTCATCTGAGGAATATTGCTAAAATTAGAAATATCCTGTCCAGGGGTGATGCTGAGAAACTAGTCCATGCATTTGTTACTTCAAGGCTGGACTATTGTAATTCTTTACTATCAGGAAGTCCACAAACTGTAGTTAAAAGCCTTCAGCTGATCCAAAATGCTGCAGCCAGAGTTCTGATGAAAATGAAAAAGAGAGATCATATCTCTCCTATCCTTGCTTCTCTTCATTGGCTTCCTGTTAAATCCAGAATAGAATTTAAAATCCTCCTTCTCACATATAAAGCCTTAAATGGCCAAGCTCCATCTGATATCAGAGATCTGATTGTTCCTTATGTTCCTAACAGAGCACTTCGCTCTCAATCTGCAGGTTTACTAGTGGTTCCTAGAATTTCTAAAAGTAGAATGGGAGGCAGATCTTTTAGTTATCAGGCTCCTCTCCTGTGGAACCAACTACCAGTTTTAGTCCGTGAGGCAGACACCCTGTCTACTTTTAAGGCTAGACTTAAAACTTTCCTTTTTGATAAAGCTTCTAGTTAGAGTGGCTCAGGTTATCCTGATCTATCTCTATAGTTCTGCTGCTATAGGCTTAGACTGCTGGAGGACATAGGGACCCCTTTTTCATCATTCTGCTTCATTCTATCTCTATTCTCCCACTCTGCAGAATCTGTTAGTTCAATCTCTAACGTTCTGCTCTCTCTGCTTTTTCTCATAGTAGCTTCATCTGGTCTGTTCCTGTTTGGCTGTGACTCCATCCTGGAGAGAAATATCAGCTGTGCTGCTGCCATCAACACCTTTGTTTCTAGATGTTGGAGCTTGGCCTGTTTTCCAGTGTAGTCCTGTTTCTCTGACTGTGACTAACTGGATGTGCTCTCTTCATCCTCTGACATGGGAGCTGGCTCGGAGCTCGTCTGCCTGGCTGTGTGTTTCCTGGACGGGGAGCTGGCTCGGAGCTCGTCTGCCTGGCTGTGTGTTTCCTGGACGGGGCCGCCTGTGGAGCTGGTTGACAGTTGCCTTTTGTATCTATGCTTCTTTTTCTATGTCTGCTTCTGTCTCCTTGAACCCCAGTGGGCCTCAGCAGATGGCCACTCACACTGAGCCTGGTTCTGCTGGAGGTTTCTTCCTGTTCAAGGGGAGTTTTTCCTCTCCACTGTCGCTACAAGCATGCTTAGTGTGAGGGATTGCTGAAGAGTCAATGAGTCGATGCAATCAGCTGGTTTTCCTTAGATAGAAAACTTTGAACCAATTTGAGTGGATGGTCTGGAGAAACTGTAAAGTGACCTGAGATGACTTGTGTTGTAAATTGGTGCTATAGAAATAAACTGAATTGAATTGATTGAAATATAAGTGTTGCACCAATACTGATACCAGTATCAGCTGGAGCCCTGATCCAGCACTAAAATGGTGGTATCGTTATCAGCGAGTACCAACTAATACAGCATCGATATCATCTTGAGTGCCAAAAGTTTCTTCAACTATTGTCACCCATTCCAGGAAGGCAATAAAAAGTTCTACTGGATCACTTATTCTATTATTTTATGCACTTTTTAAGCTCCATTTCTGTGTGACCACTTTAGCTGTAATCTTAGCTGCTGTAATGCCATTATTTCCCCAGTGTGGGACAACAAAGAGTTTCTAATCTATGTAGTGTATATCTGCAGTTTATTCAGTAATGTCTCCAAAGTTCTGATGCCTTCGGGAAGTTCTCCCTCCACCTGTGATGTCATCAGTCTGTTGATCTAAACTAAAACAGGCTGCAGTGCTGAGGCAGCCGCCTTCTGTTCAGCAGGCTAGTGGAGCAGGTCGACCTCCCCAAGATGGCGCCCGTAATTCCTGCGCCGCTACAGTCAATGCGGGGTCTGCTATTATATTATGTCTATTGTAATAATAAGCAGAGATGGCAAATAAACATATAAAATTAAAGATGATAACGAGAATAAATCTAATCATTAAAAACTACATTTCCCATGAGCACCGAGAGGAAGTGGACTACAGCAGCTCATAAAGCATGCTGGGTAAATTCTCTCTTTCTTTCCGGCTGGTGCGCCATCAAGTAAGCGAGACTTTTCTGTCCTGATGAAGGAACCTCAATCCATTAAAATCCTCCTTTATTCAGCTTCATCTGTTGGTTTTAGTTTAGAGGATCAGTTCAGAGGTTCTTCATCATCCAGACATCTGCTCTATTTTTGATAAATACTGTAAAAATAAGCATTAGGTGGTTGTTAGGTTGATGCCTCTTAGCCGCTAGCTGTTAGCATTGCTGTCGCTAAGCTACAGAAATTAAAGTAATCCACAATTTTTTAGTTTTATCTGATGTTTCATGGGTTGTAGTTTGAGTCGCTGTTTTATTATGGTAATATAACTTTAATAAGTGTAATGTTGGCTGCTGGAGGCAGGCGAGTTGAGCTTAGCGGTTAGCCTAGCCGCTGTGTTTTGTAGCATGCTGGGAAACGTGGATCCTCTCAGAGGAGGAGTTCCTCTCTGATCCAGCAGATCATCTCTGCCTCTCCGGGTCCTGGTCCGGTCAGTAGGGTTGGTTCCAGAGCAGGGCTGGCTCCGGGTCGGCGGCAGGGCTGGCTCCGGGTCGGCGGCAGGGCTGGCTCCAGCAGCCATGTTCAGGCTGCAGAGGCTGACTGGGACTTCTTCTTCTGCAGGTAAATAAACATGGGAGCCTACAGGTATATGCAGGAGCTGTGGCGCAAGAAGCAGTCTGATGTGATGCGCTTCCTGCTCCGGGTCCGCTGCTGGCAGTACCGACAGCTGTCCAACCTCCACCGCGCCCCGAGACCCACCAGGCCAGACAAGGCTCGCCGGCTGGGTTACAAGGCCAAGCAGGGTGAGTTCTGTTCTGGAGCTCCGCTCTGCCCCCCCCCACCTCAGCAGGTCTGTAATCTGTCACCGTGCTCCGTCTGCAGGGTACGTCATTTACAGAGTCAGAGTGCGCCGCGGAGGCCGCAAACGCCCCGTCCCCAAGGGAGCCACCTACGGCAAGCCGGTGCATCACGGCGTGAACCAGCTGAAATTCGCCCGCAGTCTGCAGTCCACCGCTGAGGTAGGAGAACGTCTGCAGATCCAGGCTCCTCTGGATCCACATCATCTCATGCTTTTAAAGTCAGAGGCGGCCCACAGCCTGCACTCACTCTGCCGTGTCACAGCACTGAGGGCCTGCTAGTTCAGTGGTGGTTGATAGATCTGGATCTTCTAGATTCTTTAACTGTGGAGCAGCAGCTTGGTCATCAGTAGATCTAGGTG